AGGCATATAAATTTAAGTGACATAGTATTGTGACAACTTGTATAATAGCAACTGGACAGGCATCTGCAAATTTTCCAAGAATACACAAACTTGCTATGGTGATGGGAACTTTTACAGATAGTATCATATTGAAGATCTAATTGACAACAGTACTCTTCCATCAAATAACTTATTTGTTGACATGATCTAAAATGACCATCTCAAGAGCAATTAAATCTGTCATCAGTATACTGTACATTTCATATACGCATCCAAATACATATGAAGGTTAAAGTCTGGTTTGGTAGAACTGACATTCTTGTGTGATAGAATTATTACGTCTACTACATGTAACTCATTTCAGCCCTAAATTTTATAACTCAAAACAAATATATTTTACAGAAACAAACCATTATTTACAAATAAAAATTCATCCTGAGAATTTTTTATTACGCAGAACAGCTTCACAGGAAAGGCAATTACCAATCTGTGACACAAGAACGCACCAGAGTTAAAAAAAGTCACAATTAGAGGTTCATTTACATAGATTGTGACCCAGAAAAGCATAATGGTATTTAAAGAATCTCCTTTAAATTTAATTTCATACAAGAAATTAATCATGTAATTTCAAATTCCAGTGTTCTTCCCCCTTCAATTTCTTCTACTGATTTTATAGTGTTTTGGAAGGTGACGAACTAGAAAGAACCCCGGTGATAAAGTTCCATAGTACCCCCCTTGGGCCTAGATAAGGAGGTGGGCTGCCCCATCACTCATTTCTTTCTGACTTTCAGGAGAAACAGACCCAATCTGCCTATGGCCTTCCATATATATGAAGTTCCTCTAATAGGAGCGGTTGTCTAAACAAGTTCAATGCTTCAAGAAACAAAGTCAAGTTGAAAGAAAAATCTCAACAGATTCTTTGATTTATGTGATCATAAAATTACCTACTTAAGCAAGTTAAAATAAATGGTTCTACAATGAATCAACCTGGTTTCTCAAGAAGATGTATGTATAATTGCAACAAATTCCTGTACACTAAGCTGTGAGCAGACAGTGATTATTTTGGAGAAGAAAAAATAAGAAAAATATGGAATTAGTAACACAGGTGCTGAAATGGCAGGTGGCATGGCTAGGAGAATGCCATTTTGTTCCCATTATCTACTGACCTATCCCCCAAGATCAAAGGCTGGAGAAACCAAAGCCAGCTAACAGCAGTGTGCAGGACTGGCAGCTAACAAACAGCAGAAAAACAACTCACACTATGTTATCGGTGGTCACGTTCTCCAGGTTAGTCCAGTAACTCAAGACTTTACATTCTTTCGTCTTTATTTTCACTAAACATGTAAGGTTAATAAACAGACATAGTCCAGAGTTAGTAGGTTGGTATTATAACATTTATTAAAATAATGCTATGGGTTAATAGAAACAGCAAAGAACCAAAGAATTAAAATGCAAGCTATGTAAAATCCCAACTAAAACCCAAAGTGTCTAATGTATTCATTCATTAGCTAACTAAAAGCCCAAGAAAGACAAGACACCCAATATAATAAAGTACTGCAAAACAATTGGCAATTTTCAGTTATCAAAATTGTGGATTTTGCATTTGTATCCTTTTCTCAATCAAGAAAAAAATTCTTTTTGAATGTTATATAACATACATATAAAACAAGATAGAAAAATACATTATAAACTTGTAACAATGGCTGTAAATACATTATCTTACATGTTTCTCATAGGCAATAGGTTGGTTATGGTACATACATAGCATGAAACTACTAAGATAATAAAGAATAGACAAAAAATACATGTCAGCTGTACGGTAACATACAAGCGACACTCCCATCTACCCACACTAAAAAAATTACATAATACTGTCAGAAAAGTCTTAAAAACTACATACTTTAATAAGAAATAAATTCAATAAAGAATGATAATACTGAGAACCAAGGCATTCAGAGATTTCAAAAGTCATGCTTTTTTTTCAGTTGATCCAAAATTTTGTCAACTAAGTTTTCAAAAGTTTGTTCAGAGCCAACATTACTCATAAATGTCACACATTTATTGTTTCATACATTTACTTTCTTCCCCATAAAAGACCTTTGATAAACATCTAAAATGTCCAGGTATAACACAGTTGAGATGAGACTGAATCAAATACTGGTATTGTTTTTTACTATCACCTCAAGTGTTTGAGTGTCGCAAATTTATTTAACCAACCAAACAAAATAAAAATCAAAATGGCACAGCATATATCGTAAATAAATCAAAACAACTGTATGTGTAACAGAAAGACAAAGCAGTGGCACATTAAACCAAAGCTAGCTGAGTACGAAGCAATGTCTATTGCATAGTAAATAAACTGAAAACGGTTCCAAGTGAGACAAGATGATAGAGGTCACCTTGAAGGTGCCCACTGAGCTTCCTGCTGACCGTGACTGTGGAGCTGAGAAGGTATGAAAGAAGGCCCGAGTTGATGAGCTGGGGATCCACCATCACTTGAGATTTGCCACATCTGGTACTGAGCAGTTAATGGTTATTCACTCAAGTGTTTAGATGCAGGCTTCGCACACCAATCACTTCAACTACAAAATGGTTTGAACTTCACGAGAAACTGGAAGCTCAAACTGAAATGCAGTTCCATATTATATGCACAATAATGCTAGTTTTTCACATTCTTGTAAAGTTTAAAAAAGGGGGGAGGGACAAAAATGTGTGCATGTAGGGGCAATTACTAAAGCCAGCAGAGAGATGGGCTACACAAGTGATCTGGTATGAGATAAAGAAGTCGGATTCAATGTGGGTCACTTAAAAATACCGTTTTTCAGAATGAAAATCGCCAAGGAAAATTTATGTGGAAAAGTTTGGTAGGTGTACTATTATCTCCAATTTGTAAGAAAAAAAGAATCCAATTTATTCCCTCTTTGCCAAAGAAAATAAAACTCTAATTTTGTCTGTAAAATGATGTTCAGATCTAACATAATTTTTCTCTCAGAATCCTCTGGGCTAATATTACAGACTATAATAACCAAAAGTACTCAATTATGATTTTTAAAAGAATGACACTTTAAAACTTACTAGTCAAACCTAAGAAAAGTTATTAAATTTTTCACAGTATCAGATTTGGCAAATTTGCATCAAGGTAACGTGGCACAAATCATATAATTCAAACCATCAACTCATTTAACCTCCCCTCATATCTTCTTTCACATACTGGGCGACTGAGTAGCATGCATTAACTTTTATTCTGAGGGAGGAGCTGATCTTACAAGACACTTGACTAAATGACCATGAAGGAAAATAAGGCACTTTCTTTTCTTTAGACTTATTCCAATACTTAAAAAATAAAAAAAGAAAGACAAAAAGGCTCTTTTGGTCTTTTGTTTCTTGACAACCACCAGAAAAAATTATTTAATGAAATAAAGGGTTTCTTTGTTCTTTTTCTTTTTTTTATAACACTTGAAAGTATAAAATGCTACATTTCCAAAAATATATATATTTTTTTCTGCACCAGCACCCTTGTATAGTAAAAGTATCTACTTTTTGTTCATTTGTTTCAATGCACTACACTTTATCTACAATTTCATTACATGTATACAGCAAATAGGCAAGCATGGCTTTTACATCCTTAATGATTTTTTTTTTTCTATACAGGGAAGTTTAAAAAAAATACTTGAACAGTTTGCCCAGTAATGTGACACATAATGCATGTACCTTGTTCTCAAATATTTGTTTAAGGAGGTGTAAAATAATGGTTCAGTAATTTTAACTGAGATAGTTATCTTTTTAAAAATAGTGTTGCAGTTTTGCTGTTTGTATTAGTTTTTAAAACTCCTCAATAAGTTTTTGTCTCATGGCACAATTTCTTCTAATACTTCAAATTTTGGCAGGCAATATAAAAAAAAAGGCTGCAACTTCTGCCCTTTGAGGGCATAGTAGTGACTAAACAGCGTATCAAATTTTGAATACTTTGTGAAATCACTTCACCAATGACATCCCTGACCAAAGGTTCATGCATGATGCACCACCACACAGTACATTCAGAGAGAGCTTTGACTTCGCTATGGGAAGAAAAAGATTCCTAGAGTCTCTCACAGTAACTGCCTCTGTCATTTGAGTAGTTAAGGGCCATCTGTCTCCCTTTCTTCTTACCGTTCGCTTAGGGTAGGACATTGAAAGATGATCAGTGCTGTGGGATGAACTGGGCCTTATTGCTTTACTACTATTCAGTGCAGGTTCTAGAACCACTTTCACCCAAACAAGGGAGGGAAAAAAAAAGCTGAGTTGGAGGACAATTTCTTTGTCTTTTGTTTGGTTAGATGGTAAGACGAACGGACAAGTGCCTCAGCTCGCTGCACTGACGACAGGCAAGCAAAGGCGATTACCAGTTAACTGATCAGCAGGCAGGCATGGTCAGGTCATCATTGGGTGAAGAGTTCAGAGGTCAGAAGGTCATAGGTTAGTTGCCGGTGGCGGCTGGGTGGTTAGAAACAAAAAACAAAACAAAAAAAAGAAAAGAAAAGATAGAGAAGAGATTAGTTTCAGCTAGTGACGGCTTAATGACAACATGAAAAACTAATCACAACTAATTAAAAAAAAGCATGTTTAACTCTGACAAACTGATTGACACCATCTACAGAATACAATAAAAATCATGACAATTTCATATCATGATTTGAACAAATGAAGAAGAACCCACTCCCACAAAAAAAAATCAACTTGTTAACAGAAAAAAATAGAAATAAAATACAACTAACAACTAATAGTTAGTAGCAGTCAATGAAGGAATTGGAAAACAACAATGAATAAATAGGTTTGGTATACAGAATTTTGAACAGTCAGTGCAGTTATCAGTATCTGACTGCTATTAAGCATTAGTATTCTCTCAGATGCAAGCAATAAAGCAACTATTAATGATGGATGTGATTATTAATAATTGATGATCAACAGAAATGAATCTAAAGATACTTAAAATTTCTATGAACAATTTGGTTCAACATAAACTCTGGGCCAAACAAGGTTTCTTTTGTTCAATAAATGTTTATTGCTTTTTCAATTATTCTATTTACAAACAACATGAAGTTTCTTGGCCTCATGATACAAAGCAATACTGTAGTCTAGCAGTGTAGGCAACATCATGGGAACCAGAAAAAGGCCAGGCCTTTGGCCCTGGCCAACGCTTTCCAGTTGAAAATACTATTTTACACATATAGAACACTTATAAAATGCACTTGCATGTAAACACTGTAAAATCCTGCCATTTAAAATTCTATATCTCAAAGAGCTCTAAGTACATCAAAAAATAGAAGTAATTTCTAACTGATACCAATAAGGCATTTTAAAACTACAAACAGCTTTCTTTACTCAATTTCAAAGCTAATACTCTGCAAATACAATAAAATCTGACATTTCATATACATTCCTGCTTTATAATTTTATATTTTAAAAGAAGCCACCTGTAAATACTATTTTCCTTTGCAAAATAACAAAAAGAACAAAAAATTAAAAAAAATTACAGTAAAACATAAAAGTAGTTCTCAAGTGGAAAAGTCATTATTCCCAATGTCCTTGAGTTGTCCCTTCCTTAAGCAACCTGTCACCTTCTGCTTCACCAAACTTGGTCCACTTAACAGTAGTACAGTTTTTAAGACTCATTCAACAGCTTAATTATTTCTACTATATTCTGAGGTTTAAACAGAATTTTCTGTACTGTTGCCATTGCAACTAAGGCAGAGGAGATGTGAATGAAATGGTATTCAGTGCAACATGAGATTCGGTGCCACTTCAAAAATCAAAACCCAGCAGGTGTAATGTCCACCAGGTTTCAAATCATATGTTTAATGGACTGATTTACCTTCACAGAATGAAAATAGTCTCTTCAATGAATCATTTATTTAGGACAGTTAGTGACTACTACCAAAAAAATACCATATCCTTCATGTGACTAAATCATTTCTGAATTTCCTGAAAATGAAGTGGAACTTTATTTAAAATTAAAAATGTTATTCCAAATCAAAAGAGGAAACAAATATTTAACATGATATAGTCACACTACCTTTTCACAGATTCTTCAACATATAGGGAATCTTTAAAGCTTTTTTGGCTTCTAATTAACTTTTTGAGCAAAAATGTTTAAGTATCTTATTATATTTTTTATAAATCACTAATCAGAAATTTTTCTGATGTTTGAGTGTGAACAAAGCAAACAATCAATTTATATATACCTAGAATACACCCTCTGCCAAGTCTTGGCCTTTTATAGTACATACAGGTATATCAATTGTGCAAAATCACTTACAGTTCAATACAAATAAAGTCAGTTGGTCTTTTGTAAGTTTCAAATTCAGGTTTGAAGTATGTAAAGAGGTGGGCTTATTTTTAGTAAAGAACAAGGTATTTGTCAACCATGTAGTTACTTTTAGGCTCATACAGAATTACATGGTTATATGTGTAAGACTGACTTTCCTTGCATCAAGTGAATGCTTATAATAATCTCCTCTTCAAAACAATGTTTTGAAACTATGAAAGAAACCTCAAAAATAGAGAAAACAGTAGTATCATAAAATATCTAAGTGAAGGACTTCAGGCATCTCCTTAGACCCATGAGTGCATAGTGAAATTAAGTCTCTAAGTATTCCATTACTTATTTAAAAAAATTAGCATTTCGGTTTGCTGACATTGCATTCTAAATTAAAATGTGAATTAATAAAAACCAATTAAATACAAATAAGAGCCATGCATGGAATGTATTGTCATTTTCGAAATAGAATATAATCTTCCTTTAGTATCTTCCAACTATCTAAAGGAACTGGATTAAGAAACCCAATAATTAGTGTGTTAAAACAAAACTATGAGAAATGTCCTAATAGTATACAGGGAGTAACAATTAACTAAAGAAAAAATACTTTAAAAAACTCTGTAGAACTACTTTAGACATTAACAGTATGAATATAGCTTCAAATCCTAGTGACTCCACTCTAAGAGAAGTTTGTATGCTCACACTTGGCATATCTGCCAACAAGTACTATATGTTAATGGAAAACTGCTGGGTATGGAGTCTATTCACTGAAAAAATGATTACAAATAATGTATACATTAGTTTTAAAAAGTCTTCAGAGGCTCTTTAATCATGCATGTATGAAATTTTATCAAGCATCTTTGGAAAGGCATTTCTAGTGACATCATCAGCTGTGTCCAGTCCAGTATTTATGATCAGCGTTCAAGATAACCAGGTAAAGCAGGATAGGTCTTTCATAGAGGATGTATAGTAGAGTATAAACTCGTTATTTTCCCACAATTATGGTTTTTTGATTAATTTAATTAATGGGTAATAAATGTGCCATAATTAAAAAAAATCTTTTCCTACCATCTCATGCTGAAAACAAACTTAAAAACATCAACAAAAACAATGTCAATAAACCGAAAATAACACTCCTCATGAGCATAAATACTTTATAATAAAGAGTCCAAGGGTATATATAGGACACAAATTGAAAATGTTGAAAAGGAGAAAAATGAAGACTTATGGTCTAGTCACAGGTTAGTCAAAAAGGATTTCATATACCACAGATCTTCAGGAGATGGTTTACCTTCAGATAATATATTTTAGCAGCAAATGACAAAGATCAAAGGATCCATTTTGGCAAGAGAATGTAAGAATAAAAGGGAACTGATTTTCTAATTTACATTAAAATGTCCAACTACATGACAGTATCTTCACAGTCCTGACCTGTTGATTTCAGCTAAGTACTTGGCATCTACACTCTTGTGTTTAAACAGTGGCTCAAAGGTTTTCTTGTAGTAAAGAAAATTGAAACTGAATCTTCAGTTTTCTCCAAAAGTACACAGCAGGCATATATTCCTTTACTTCTTTCAATAAAGCACCATCCATTCAGTCATTTTGCAATACCAACCCCAAATTTTGGAACAATAAAAAGGCAATAATTTAGCAAAAGTAATTATTAAAAATAGTTAAGGCAGCATACAAATTTAGTAATTCCCCAAATTGGCTAATTTACATTTTAGTAGGAATAAATCATAGCATATAATAATAGATTTAATAAGTCAAAATATGAAGGAAGGAAAAAACCCACCCCAGCCCTTAAATCTGTGAATTGTTAAAATGAATTTCCGAAAGGAAAAGAAATGGTATTCAGGTAAACAGTTTTGTTTTTTTTTTTTCCACCAGGTGTGGTGTTGCAAATTTTATGGACATCCAACGCATCTCTTATAAACAAGAACTGCAGAACTAAACTAACCTCGGTCTGCGGTCACAATCCTTTGGTAAGGATGGACACGCACATCGTGCCTTCGAACTTTAGTAGCCACCGCACCTAGTCAGATTGCAATTACCAAGACAGAGTTAGAAACATACATAATGGGAAACACATTAACAGCAGGTTTATCAAAATGGATTTCAAATGTTCGTTTACTACAAAAGTTTAAGAAACATGTTAAGGCACAGTAGTTTTAAAATTAATTGTAATGTCATGTATATTCTATGTATCTATTAATATTGCATTCATTTCAAACATGTTGGCCTTAACCTATCTTATCCATTCATTTACAATCCCCAAGTTACAGCATTTCATCAGCTCTTATTAGATCCAAACATATTTGCGCTTTACTAGTCACATATTCACTGAAGTGCCTTTCTTGCAGTAGGACTACTTAAATAATGCCACGTTTAATGCTGACAATTATGTGCTAACCTTAAGACCACTTCCAGAGTTTATCACTTAAGAAAGTTTAAAAGCCATTCTTAAAGCCTATAGATTGTGGTTTTAAACTTTGAGTCAATAAGTATGAACTGCAATGAATTAGGTGATTAGTAAAGCAAACAGTGTAGTACACTTAGCAGTCAGTATACTCCTGTACACTCCTTTATAAATTACCGTTACTTTGTAGTATTACAGACTAAACCAAATTAATAACATAATTTTACTTTATATCTATGTGCAAAAAGTGCAAGTAAGTCACTGACTGCTAGGCTAAGCTTTTTCCCCGGAGGCTGCTGAGACTAAGCATTTGTTAAATTCAGATCTGATGAGGGCTCGGTTAAGACCGTTCTTGAATTCTTAGCCTTTCGTTGGGAAAGCCATACCTAAAGATAAAAGGAACGGAATTAAAAATTAGTCATCAATGAAGACTTGATGCTAATACCAATCTCCTCACCACCACCAACACACTTGTCTGCATCTGTTTTGAAGGGCACTGCTTCTTTTAAAATAATTGAGCGTGAGATATGATACATAGCATGCATGTTATCTGTGTGCAAATTTATATTGTAACTTAGCAATTTTAAATAATTTCCTCAATCCTCTAGGGGGTCAATATCATGTTTTACTGCTTAGGTGGCAACAGGAGAGATAACATTGGTTATGAGATATTTTTCATTTAGTATTTATTATTAATCACCTTATGAATGTTACGTATCTATGCATTTTACTCTTAACTTTGCCTAATAGTCAAGATTTTATCATTAAAATTTTTTCCAACAAAAGAGAAACATGGTTCGCAAGGAGAAACAAATTTTATAGCAGTGCCTCTTGATGTTTCTAAGCAGTAAACTGGTTGATCACCCCTTTGTCATTTTAGATAAGCTAACCATATACAAGTATAATTCAATGGCAAAACCAAAGAGATCTTGCATTGAAAATAATGCAATAACAGCTGGTGGCTAACAGCCCCAGACCTGTAAGAAGTCAAGAGTTCTAACTCCTCAGTAACAGATGCTGTGGGTGCAGCAGAGAGGAGTTCTTGGAGGAAGGAGGAGAGCATGCACAGGGCCACAGGATAGGGTATTAATAGGAAGAAAAACTTAAAAATAAGGTTATAGGTTACATGTTATTTTAAAAATGCTTCAAGAAATGAGCAACAGAAACAAGCGTTCCAATCAACAGTTCTGTGGTATAATTCTGACCTGTAATTACTTTATACAATGATGTAGATGGAAAACATGTACAACAAAATGTATTTGTTCATAAAACAAAAGGCACCTGAATGCATGCACACACACAGATAACATACAGAGCATGTGGCTTTCTTTAACTGAACAATGAATTTTCAAGTTTAAATCTTAATGTCCAAGTTCATTAAAGATCTTCAATTTGTTTATCAATCAGTATTATTGCCGGGGGAGGGGGAGGGAACTCTTTAAAAGATCAAAGTCCTGAAAGTCAACAGAATGCATGCAGCACCAAGGTCATATACAAGTCAGGAAAAAAGTGTTCAAAGAATCTGTCTGGTAAAACAAAGGGGTTGCAGGGAAACAGTTTGTTCCACATTGACTGGTCGTGTTATAACAGCTGCTGTATTCTAGTCCTTCATCCAGCAAGTCAATGGGCTGAAATATCAGGCATGACTGGCATTTCAATCCACTCTATAAAAAAAAGGCATCAGTAATGTCTTTTTCAAGCACACCACTTTTTGTTCATGTAAAACCAAGCGTTTACAGTAAGACTTTAATTTCTGCCTCCAGTGTGACTAATTTAGTAATGAAGAATTTATTCATCTATTCCACAATGTATTGCTGAAATCAGGAGTATCAGTTATGTTTAATGTTAACTAAGACTCAGAAGACATCAATTTAAAAACCTTTTAAGGCAACAAGCATTAACCTGGTCCCATTTTAACTTATCACATATATGTAAGGGCACAATAATATAAACACTAGAGAAATCTCAAAAATAGCTCTACACAGAACTTTACATTTCAGCTGGCAATTAATTACCTCTACAAAAACAAAGAAATCTTTGGGAGGTGGAACTAATGACATGGATGGAACCAAAATAAAACTCAAGAATTGCAGTAATGTCAAATGTGAAGTATTTCCTGTTTAAAATGTACACAACAAATTTGTCCAACTGAGGTGAATATAAGTTATCAAAGAGAATCTGCACAAATATTAGGTGCAGTTACTTAGTAAGAAAATTGTGAGAAACTGAAATAAAATCAGATTCAGTTTTTAGCATTTCCTAATGAAAACTTATCTTGCCTCTCTAAAACTGCAAAAAAAAAAAGTCAAACTCTGGGGCAACAAAATCTATCAAGAACGTGTTAAGCACCTAAACACAAGCACTTACCTAATACACCACTGGGCTCAATAGGGTACTCAAGGATTGATGTAGCTGGTGCCAATGTATAGGGGTATTCATAGGGCGTGTAGATTAACCCAGCCTCGGGCCCTGGAGGGACTATTGCAGCAGTTGGGTGAGGAGTTCCGTTTGGCATGACAGCGGTCTGTATTTGTCTGATCAAAGGCATTATGGTAGGGCCAGCTGGCGTAGGCGTACGCAGGGCAGCTGGTGGGAGGACAGGCGCAGGCCCAGTAATGATCCTTGGAGCAGCCTGGGCAGTTGCTGCAAGAGAAAAGGCAAGGGCTGCTACAGTAAGCAAAGAAATTTAGAAAGAAGTATAGGGATAGCAGTATAAAATATGGGAAAGTGAGAGGGGAGTAGGGAAAAGAAAGGAAAAAGCAGGAAAGGAGAAAAATAAAAGGAAATCATTAGTACATGCACTGATCACACAAAAATGCCAAAGTACACCAATCAAATGCAATCAGCTTCCCTTTCCCAATCAGATTAAGAATGTGCAAAAAAAATAAGGCACTATAAAAAAATGAATGAGACTACCAAAATGTTATATTTAGTTCCTGTATCTGATATATGTTTATAAGATTTAATGAGACTAAAGGTGCATGCAAAAGCATAGGAAAACATTTGTATTAAAAGATGTTATAAAAAAATGTGTAGTTAGAGTCCACAGAAACCCAGTCTTGGTACATCCTACAGTGTAACTTGAGTTCCAATAAAACATTTTTTCATGACAGTAAGGCAAATAACCACTAGATGCAAATAAACTGAATCTTTAGTAATTACTTCATAACAGTACAAAACATCCTCTTTCTAAACTCATGACTATTAACGATATTCTCACTTCTCATGAGTTAACTGTAGTCAACCACTTGTAAAGTAACTACTTCTAAATTGACTGTGTTAGCTAACATTTGAGAGTTTCCTTAAAAAAGTATTATTTTAAATATGGTATTACTTTCATATAAATAGCGAGTAAATCTTAGGTTGTTTGAAATGACAAATTTCACATCAGTTTCTTTTTTTTTAATATAAAAAGCTATCTTTTCAATAGCTTATAAAAGCTATCGCTCCTCTCAATACCTTATAAAAATATGCATGGGGAAAACTTTGATGTACAAGTCCACCAAGGGGAATAGAGTATAATGTTCCCCACACATTGATCTCTGTGAACTCACATCTGAACTTAATAGGGAAAAAAATACTGGAGAGGAAACATGCAAGCCAGGGGAAGGAAAAGAACCTAACAGAAGGGCCATTTCAGTCAGATACATTCTGTCTTCTACATTAAGTACAACAAAGTAAGCTGAAAGCCTTATCTATGTAGTTAACAGAATAAGACATTTCTTCAAAGACACCTTTGAATTTAAAGGTTGAAATTTCATCTGAACAATAAAAACTTACAAATTCAAAACTTTGATATGCTAGCATAAAATAAAGCGAAGGGCAGCCAGGTACTGGTGGCTCACACCTACAATCCTAGCTAGTCAAGAGGCTGATATCTGAGGATCATGTCAAAGACAGCCCATGAAAGGAAAAGTCCATGAGATACTTATCTCCAATTAATCACCAGAAAACGAGAAAAAGAAGTGTGCTTCTTATAGTAGAGCACTAGCCTTGAGCACAAAAACTCAGACAGCACCCAGGTTCTGAGTTCAAGTCCCAGGACTGGTGCTAAAATAACATAAAAAATAAAACCAAGAGGGTTATAGTTCATTACCATATTAAAAATGGGACTGTTGGGCTAGGTGCTGGTGGCTCACACATGTAATCCTAGCTCCTTAGGAAGCTGAGATCTGAGATGGTGGTTTGAAGCCAGCCCTGGCAGGAAAAGTCCCCAATAAACTCGTATCTCCAAATTCACCACTCAAAAACTGGAAGTGGTGCTGTGGCTCAATTAATAGCGTGCTAGCCTTGAATATAGAAAGGCTCAAGGACAATTGCCAGATACTCAGTTTAAGACCCATAATAGATACCCTCCAAAAAAGGGGGGGGACTGTTGGTCTCATATTAAATGATACAGTTTACTTTAATTTGTCAATCTAACTGTTCATGTGCTATGATGCCAAAAGTACAAAGGTCTATAGACAAAACAGCTGAGACAGCTGTGAGCCTGGGCCTCAGCCTCATTCTTACGTGATTTAATGTTGGCATCTCTGTAGGTGCCATTCAGAATGGCAAGCTCCATCAGCTGCATCTTCTTCAGGCTATCCTCTCCTTCTGCCTGTAAAAGAAACACAAGAGCAGAAGCATTAGTGGCTATCCACATACATCCATATATATCTATAGAACCTTTGACTTACAATAGAAAATGTTACTATAGCCAGTGGTTCCAAAAAAAAAAAAAAAAGATGGAAACACCAAGGATTTTGACATTATGAATCCTGTGTTTTCCTCAGTGATAGTATGTCCTACGTAATATGCTCCCAGTAGTCACCAGCTACATATCTATTTGAAAAACTAATTTTAAGGCAAGTTATATTGATACATAGTTCTCCCAAAATCCTTTAATTAAAACTGAATGTGTTATATATGGGCCAAAACTCAGTATCATTAAAAAAAAACACATACATTTACAACACCACAATGAAACAAAATTTTATTGTGGCATTCAAGTGAGTATATTTTAATCTAAACTCAACAAAAGGAAAATTTAGTGAAACTCTAATATTAATTTATACAATTAAAAAAACTTGCATTTCTGCATGTTTATTTATGCACTACCTCCATTCTCCTTCAGTATAATTAGCAAGTGTGAGTAAGTTGATGGCCCTCTATCTCTAAAGCTACCATGATTTACTATGCAAATGATGGAAGTATTTAAAAGAGTAAAAAGGCACTAAATAGCTATGCTACTAAGACAGACATAAGCCAGTATCATCTGTGATCATGAACATGTTTGCCTTCCATATTCGCCTTAGATTCATCTGCCTTTTCTAGTCATTAATGAAACATTCTGCTAATGGTACCTACCACTCAATTTATATACAATCTACACAATCTATACAGAGCGGACAAGACTAAATACCTGAAAACACAACCATGTTTCTCAACATTCTCATATCTCAAACCCTTTCATAATTTTACCATCAGAAAGTGTAAAACAAATTAAGATTTCTATGATCTGGCCTCAAACTATCATTTCAGTTGACCAATTAATTTTTTACCGTTTCACACACAAACCTAACATTAACCATATCACTCCATTGTCTGTGCACATTTATACACTTTTCCTCCACTGCAATACTCCTCTGCATGTTATTCTCACCCTCTCTTTTTCTAAAATCCTATGTCCTACCTTTCTTTAGGGGGCAGATTATATGATTTCAGAATAGAAGTTTAGAATTACTGTTCAATATCAATACTCTCAAAGTGAGCTTCACTGGAGAGATCTCCTTCCTTCCTCCTTTCCCCTCCTTGTCTCATTATCCTTAGATAGCTGTACAAAGGGGTTTCAATTTAGCATGTCAGTTTCTGAATACAATGCATACTGATCAGCCCTTTGATAATTCTTTTCATCTCTCCCAAACCACTCATCCCTCCCATTTATCTAGTTCCATTTTTACATATGTACAATGGATATGATTGCATTTGCCCACCTTTCCACTAACTTGCCTGCCCTCCTTTGACCACATACCCCCTAATAACACATATTCCAGCTTCCTGGTATTGACTTTGTTAACCTATGAGGTAATTGTGCAAAGGAGTTACACAACTAAATTCTCCTTGGGATATGCCAAACTTTTACACACACACACACACACACACACACAACTTTGACATGAGAGAAAACATGTGTTGTTGTTGTTTTTTTGTCTCTCTAGAGACTCACGTAACATTTTTTTCTAGGTCCATCAATTTTCCTGAAAATAATATATCGTTCTTCTGGATGAGTAAAATTTCATTGTGTACGTGTGTGTGTGTGTGTGTGTGTGTGTGTAAACATTCTCTGGATCCATTTGCCCATTAAACGGCATCTGTTCTGTAGAATCTATCATTTATCACTGCCTTATCACCATGTACTCACCTCCAAATTATTTGCTGAGCTTTACCCTTTAAATGATTGGCATGGAACGTCTAAGTCCTACAGAATAAGCATTTACTCACCACAGTAAGAACTATTTACAAAGTCTGCCCCTGAACACGGTGGAAGGGATGGAACTTAAGTCCCTCTCAATTTATTTTTTACCATGTCCCCAGGATTTAATATTTAGATAGTTTGTAGGACAAAGGGTAAACTAATGCAGCAGTGATACTCAGTAGACACTATGTTGAAAATGAACTATACAACGTGGGGGAGGTGAATATGGAGGGAAAAAACTGGGGAAAAAAGGAGGGAAGCAGTGACACTGTTCAGAAAGAAATGTACTCATTACTTATGCAACTGCAACTGCCCTGTACATCACCTTTACAATAAATTTTTTTTAAAAGAAAGTGACTCAATAATGTATTTTTTTGATGTAATTTTGTTTCTTGCAGATTCAATAAGAGGTTAAATTAGGACAAGTTAAACTTCTCAGTCCTTCTTTTCCATTACAACTGTGATAACGTAAGAGTCTTCAGCATTAAAACAGGAAATAGTATGCTCTAACTGGGAGTGAATGTAACTGGTGAGTAATTTAACAAATGACAAGTGAAAGCCAAGTGCTGCTGGCTCACACCTGTAATCCTAGTTACTCAGGAGTCTGAGATCGGAGGATCATGGTTCAAAGCCAGCCAGGCAGGAAAGTCCGTGAGACTCTCATCTCCAATAAACCACCAGAAAACCAGAAGTGGAGCTGTGGCTCAAGTGGTAGAGTGCTAGCATTGAGCTGAAGAGTGCCCAGACCCAGATTTCAAGCCTCATGACTGAGCAAAAAAAAGAGAAAGAGAGAGAAGTGAAAACATTATGAAAATAATATTTATTCATGTCACTGACAACTTTTAAAAGGCCTACTGTGCAGTATTCAGAAAGAAGATACTGTGTACATTTGGGATGATTGTATGTTTATGCCCCATCAACTTGTATGAAGATGAAAAATAGTAAATGGGAAAAATTAAAAATCCATTATCATTAAATGCAATTAAATTTGTTAATGAAACATAATAGTATTAGAATTTTAAATTCATCAAGAGTTTCTAGGCACTAGTTACTGACATCTGTAATCCTAGCTACTCAGGAGGCTAAGATGAAGATCATGGTTCAAGGCCAGTTGGGACAAAACAATGTGATAAAATTCCATCATAAAGCAGAGCAAATGGCAGTGGTGGCTCAGGCCTGTCACCCTAGCTCTTGAAGAGGCTGAGATAATGGCCATACCCAAGTCTGAGACTCTTACCTCCAATTAACTAGTAAAAAGCTGAAACTGGAGCTGTGGCTTATGTGGTAGAATGCCAGCTTTGTGAAAAAAAAAAAAAAAATCCAGCCCCATAACCAGCCACCCCTCCCCAAAGGCAGACCTGAAGGTATGGATGAAGTGGTAGAGCACCAGCTGAGCAAGAAATCTGAGCCAATGTTTAGAAGCCCTTAGTTCAAATTCTAATACATCTCCCTTTCAAGAGCTGACATAAGTTTAAATCTATAGTAAGAGAAGAATAAAAAATATTACATATTAAACTCTAGACAAACATTTTAGGAATGTTTATCTCCAGCCAAACTAAGAAGTAGTGCAAATGCGAAAATACCAGCAAGAAGGCAAATTTACCTCTATCAAAACCAGGAAAAAGACAATATGGTGCAGAGTGAACATGGTTAAAAACATATCTGAACTCAGCTCGTTCTTTGGATATTAAACATAAACCAAAACAACTACTCCTTAGTTGATAATGCAAAATCAAGGGGGAAAAAAATCCCCCAAGAAACGCATGTATGGCCTGCTAGTGTACATATAAGCAGTCTTATCTTTTGCAAGACAAAACAGGGCAGAAATCAGTGAAAAAGATTAACAACTGAACTACCAAACCTTCCATCAGGTGTTTGAGCCACCTGATGATGTTGTCACTGTGCGTGACAGTAACATGACAATATGGTAGGCCTTGGTACACTACAGAAGGCTATACTAACACTTCCTCAGAAAAATCACAAAAGTCAGTTGGCAGAACTAGCATTCGAACTTGAATCAGATGGCTTGATATGGTATGAGTTCCACCCTTCCAACACTGTATTCCAAGAGTGGAGGCTTCTTGCCTTAAGAGACAATGAAGTTCATTCTAAAATACCTGCAGACATGGGAGTGGTGATTCCACCGTAATGCCTGGCAGAAGTCTGGTCTATGTTCCTACCTGAATACTACTGAGGGTGTATGCTATTAAGTTTTTTCTATGGTTCAGAAGTCCTAAAGCTTCTATAGTAAGACTGGAGATTTCTCTTTAAGTTTTGATCAAAAATGATATCCTGGAGTTGTATGTTTTACTTAGACATTTCCCAAAGTACTTATAGAAACTCAATTGGGGTCCAACATACTACATTTATTATGATTAAGTGATTACATAAACGTCACAAATTTCACAGTATTGTGAGATAGTGACAAAGTCACAAACACATTTAACCTTCATGAGGCAAACTGTCATTATGGTGGTCTTTAACAAAGGAAAATGCTCTTATGCAACCAGTATAAGGTCAGTCATAAAATCATATAGTACGCTGCTCAATTCAAGAGATTCTCTGCAATCACCTTCTCATTCCTTAAGTATTTACCTTGTGCAACACTGGGATTGGTTGTTATGAATGGGCATCAAGATAGAACATTCCCAATAACCAAATCTCCTTGGACCTCATACACCAACCATCTGATTTCTCTCATACTGAAATTCAATTTGCCAAAAGCAAATTAAATATAACTTTTGTGTCAATCTTCCACCCATACTGTGGATAGCAGTAATACATTTGTTTTAATAGCTCAGTAATATTTTATCAATGCTTCTGCTACAGCCATTTGGCAATTTCTGATTCTGAGACACTGCAAATAAAGACACCATGAAAATACCTATTCAAGACTTTTTTGTGAATGTATGTTTTTTCATTTATCTTAACTAATTATCTAGCAGTGGCTAGATACTCTGGGTCACAGAGTAGAGGAATTACATTGGAAATATGCTATAAAGAGAAAGCACTATGAATAACAACTTCATTTTTGAGACACAAGGGCTAAAAATAAACACTTGCTAATAGCCAAAACCTCAGGCATCACAGAAGTGTCTTGAAATTAAATTTAGAGGTTTACAGAGTTTCAGAAATAAAATATA